TAGAGTAGGTTCTGTGAAGGGAAAGCTGACAGTTCCAAACACTGTGTTGGGGAGGTGATTAATTGCTTTCTTTTTGGTTGGGGTTTGATAAATTTTGTACAGCACAGTAAAAAGCCCTTCAGCTCACCATGTCTACACTGGCCATCAAGCATTTATATATTCTAGTCCATTGTCCAGCACTTGGCCCATAGTTTTACATGCTATGGCATTTAAAGTGTTTGTTTAAAGACTTCTTACATGTCTTGAGAGTTTCTGCCTCTACCATCCTTTCAAGTACTGAGTTCTAGGCATCCTGGCAAAAATTTTTTTTCTCAAAACCTCCTGCTCCTTTCCTTAAAACTGTGCCCTCCACTTATTGATCTGTCTACTCAGGAGAAACGTTTTTCCTAACTATGCCCCTCAGCACACTTCACACCTTAGTCAGGTTCCCTCTCAGCCTTCTCGGCTCTATGAAGAACAGTCCCAACCTATCCAGTCTCTTGTTATCATATCATTCCTCTACCAGTGACAGGAACTGCACAGAGTGTTCCAACTATAGCCTAACTAATGTTACATACTGCTCCATCATAATCTCCTTGATCTCATATTCAATTACTTGACTAATGAAGGCAGGTATCCCAGATGCCTTCTCAACTATCTCATTGACCTGTCAAGCTGTCTTCAAGGATCTATGAAAATGCACACCGAGGTTCCTCAGATTCTCAGTATTTCCTAGGGTCCTATTATTCAATGTATACTCTCCTTATCATGTCTGTCCTCCCAAAATATATCAATTGACAACTTTTAGGATTAATTTCTATTTGTCACTGTTCAGCCTATTTGACCAGCCCAGTCTATACCATTCTGTTGTCTAAGGCTTTCTCCTTGCTAATTGCCACACCACCAACTTTTGTGTCATCTGTAAACTACTGATCATTCCTCCTATATTCATGCCTAGATCATTAATGCACACTGATTTATCAAGGGACCCATCACCAAACCCTGTGGTACGCCACTGGACACAGGCTTCCAGTCACAAAAAAACGCACTTTGACCATCACCCTCTGCTTCCTGCCATTATGTCAATTTCGGAACCAATTTGACAAATTGCCCTGGATCCCAAGGATTTTCTTTAACCTTACCTGAAAGCGATTTTTTTATGTTCCCTCTTCACCCGCTTAATTTTTTTCTTCAGTAACCCTCTGCATTTTCTAATGCATCTGCTGTTTTGAGCCTTTGGTATCTGCTATAAGCTTCCCTTTATTTTCTTTACTCAATCCTGTTCTTCCCTTGACAGCCAGGATTCTCTGGACTTGTTGATCCCACCCTCCACATTTACGGGAACAAGACAGTCCTGCACTCTCACTATTACACTTTTGAAAGACTTCCACTGGTCTGATATGAACTTTCTAGCAAGTAGCTGGTCCCAGTCTGCTTTGGTCAGATCCTGTCTTATTGTATTAAAATCAGCCTTCCCAACTCGGAAACTTTATTTCTGGTCCATCTTTGTGCTGATCCTTCCTTATGGTCACGATCACTGAATTGTTTCCCCACTGATATATCTACTACTCTTCTGGCTTTTATTTCCCTAAAATTGGGTATAGCTCTGCCTCCTCTCTTATACAGCATTTTACGTGCCATCTTAAAAAGCTATCCTGGACACATTTTAAGAATTCTGCCCCCTCTAAGCTTCTCATACTTGTCAACCTGTCTATCCTGGTTAATATTGGAGAGGTTGAAATCTCATTCTATTATTTAACTATTACTTCACTCAACCATGCACTAATCTGTTCCTTCCACCTATTTCTATATTCATTAGTACTTGGCACTGAACTATATCCAGAGATTACAGTCTTTGGGGTCCTGTTTTTGAATCTTCTACTGAGCTCCCTAAATTCTTGTTGCCGGACCCCATCTCTCTTTCTACCTACGTGGTTGGTTATAATGTGAAGCACCATCTCTGACTGCTCTAGCCCTCCACAACAACCCCCTACCATACCACAACATCTGCCCCTGTCAGAATGCCCTACCACAGTTCAGTAAACTCTATGGTCCTATCCCAGGAATGGAACGCACCATCCTTGAGTAAGGTCTGTGGTAATAGGAAACACCTGTTTGTACATTCTCACTATTGAATGCACAATTGTTTCACACTAACTCCTGCCTCTACCCCTCATTCCTAAATTCAGTGTTGTTTCACACTAACTCTTACCTGTACCACACAATATTAAATATTTTGTCATTTCACACTAACTCCTGTGTGTATCACTCATTATTAAACACACTGTCATTTCACACTAATTCCATTCTGTACCCATCATTATTAAATATAGGAACAAATTACTGCAGATGCTGGAATCTGTACTGAAAACAACAAATGATGGAGATCACACGGGGTCAGACAGCGTTATGGAGAGAGAGCAAGCTAACATTTCGAGTCTAGATGATTCTTTATCAGAGCTGAAGTGAAGTATGGAGGGGACAGCATTTATGCTATAGTTTGGGGATTGTGAAGGTAGTGGGTGTAGGGTGTTGGTGGAGAAATAATGTTGATAGTTCTGACTATGTGATTGGAATGTGAGAATGGCAGAAAAATGGTGTGTCTCCTGCCAGACTTGAAAGGACAGTACATGGGATGGAGGGAGGTGAGGATATGGTAACAAACTAAAAGAAAGATAAGAAATGTCTAAGGTTTTTGAGTAGATCTTTAGCTCGGGTTGTGGATGCTGTGGTTGGTTCGTTTGCCGAGCTGGTTCGTTAGTCCACAGACATTTCATTACCCTGCTGGGTAACATCATCAGTGCAGCCTCATATGAAGCGCTGTTGTGTTTTCCTGCCTGGTATTTAAACTCTGGGGTCTATTGCATTTGATTACCTCATTTCCGGTTTTCCTTCGCAATAGTGTACATATGGGGTCTAGTTCTATACGTTTGTTGATGGCCTTCTTGGTGACGAACCAGGCCTCTAGGAATTCCCGTACTTGTCTCTGTTTGGCCTGTCCTAGGATCCTGACGTTGCTTCAATCGAACCGCTGGTTCTCCTTATCCATGTGAATGGAGATGAGTGAGTATTGGTTGTGTATTTTTTGTTGCTAGTTGGTGTTCATGTACCCTTATGGCCAATTTTCTTCCTGTCTGTCCAATGTAATGTTTGTCATATTCCTTGCATGGAATTTTGTATATTACGTTGGTTCTGTCCATAGTGGATAAGAGGTCTTTGGTTCGAGTTAGCAGTTGGCATAGGGTTGACGTGGGTTTGTGTGCTACTCTGATGCTCAATGGTTATAGGAGTCTTGTGATCAGTTCAGATATGTTCTTGATGTATGGTAGCAAGATGAGTGTGTTAGGGGGTGCAGTATGTTTCTGTTGTTGTTCATGTGATAGGCATTGTCGGATCCAGTTGTTTGGGTATCCGTTGTCTTTAAATACTTGGTGGAGGTACTCTTCTTATTTTTGGTGTAGTTCTGGGTTGCTACAGTGTGTTGTTCTTGTTTAAATAGTGTTTTCATTTGCGAGTATTGAGGTGGTAACTGTTGAAATTCAGTACTTGGTCAGTGTGTATGTCTTTTCTGTGTACACTGCCTGTACCCCCATTATTAAATATGCTAACACCTATCCGTAAACGTCATTATTAAGTACGTAGTTGTTCCAAACAAACTCCAATCTGTGTCCGTCATTATTAAATACACATTCATTTCAGACAAACTCTCATATGTACTTCTCATTATTAAATACAGTAACACAAGTCCGCAACTTCATTATTAAATACAGTGTCCTTTCACAATAACTTGTCTCTACCTCTCATTACTAAATACACCAACTCCTTGCAGTACCCCTCATTATTAAATACACAAACTTTTCACAATAACACCTGCCTGTACCCCTCATGATTAAATACGCTGTTGCTTCACACTAACTCCTGTCTGTACCCCTCATTATTTAATACACTGTTGTTTCACACTAACTCCTGCTTGTACCCCTCAGTATTTAATACACCATGATTTCACACTAACTCCTGCCTGTTCCCTTCATTATTTAATACAGTGATTTTACACTAACTCCTGCCTGTACCCCTCATTATTTAATACACTGTGATTTCACACTAACTCCTGCCTGTACCCCTCATTATTTAATACACTGTGATTTCACACTAACTCCTGCCTGTACCCCTCATTATTTAATACACTGTCGTTTCACAGTAACTCCTGTCTGTATCCCGCATTACTTAATACACTGATGTTTCACACTAACTCCTGCCTGTACCCCTCATTATTTAATAAACTGTGATTTCACACTAACTCCTGCCTGTACCCCTCATTATTCAATACACTGATGTTTCACACTAACTCCTGCCTGTACCCCTCATTATTTAATACACTGTCGTTTCACACTAACTCCTGCCTGTACCCCTCATTATTCCATACACTGTTGTTTCACACTAACTCCTGCCTGTACCCCTCATTATTTAATAATGTCGTTTCTCACTAACTGCGACCTCGCGCTGTCGCTGTTGTTTTTTTCAAACGGATTGTGTCTGTGGTCTCCTGGTGACCAGTAAACAAACAGCCAATCAGAGTGGAGAGGGCGGGTATACGGGGCTGCGGCAGCACGCGGAGCCGCCAGGGGTCTCCGCAGAGCCGTTTACTGAGCTGGCGAGGAAAGAGGCAGCCGCCGTTGTGGTTCCTGAGGTGAGCAGCTCACTCTCTTTTTCCGTACGTGGGCAAGGCGGTGGCCTCGATTGCCCATTTCGATTTAACTCCTCTTGTATTCCTTTTTAAATTGAGATATAAAACGGCTTCGCGGGTGTTCGGTGAACTCTTTGAAAATGGACACCTGCGGCAGGCCAGTTGTGAGACTGACGGCGGAGGCGGGGCTATTGAGTGGGCGGGGCTTAGTGATGGGGCAGAGGGCGGGTGCCATGGTGTGGTGTGTCAGCGTCCAGATGGAGTGCGGGGGCGGGGCCTGCTATGGTTCGACATGGAGTGCGAGGGTTGGCTGGAGCAGCCAATGGGCCTGGAGCAGGAGCCGGGGGGCGGGGCCGAAATGGAATGTTGCCGCCGCCGCGTTCGGCCGGTTCTAGGTTCTAGTCGCGCGTCCTCAGACTGAGTGGAGTCAGTGGTTCATGTAGATCGTGTTGGAGCGAGTGTCTGTTTTTGTGTGTGAGAGAAATAAGTACTGACATTGAGGAGTCAGCTTTCTCCATGCACTCGGCTTTTGGGGTGGGTGTTTAATCTCTCGAATAATCAAACTGGGGCGGCACGGTGGCCGGCGGTTTTCGTCCTCTCCAAAGTTATCAAGCGTCTTTTTTCCTCTTAAAAACAAACCGCATAGTTTCTGCTTCTTCTGATGGTGCGCGGGCCAGCTTCCTAATGTAGAACAGGCTTGAAGGTCTTGGCAACTCATTCACCTTCATAGTAATGGCCATACCGGCACGTTTACAAGGTTTGTCTCCAAGACTTGTTGAACAGTCGGCTGCAGGTTGTGTTGTGTATTTGTGAAAGTGAGTTTAAGAAGAATGTTTTGACACAAATGAGTTACTGCAGCGATAATTTTACACGACGTGATTCAGTGTGAGACGGAGGGAAATGTATACCATCTGAGAATGTACATAAGGTAAAATACAAAGTTAGCATTTGTTGCTGCTTGTGGCTAACTTGGCTAACCTGAATTCAGCAAAGTGAGTGAAGAGCCTGCGCTGAATTTATTGCTGCTGATGGTTTCATAAGGGGATCTTTTTTATGTGTTGTGTGTTTGTCGGCCAGACTGAGCTGAGTGTAACTGGACAGCTGTAGGAAATTAAAGCAGCTAAAATAGTCTGGATGTGTGCAACGCTTAGGAAGCGCAGATGCTTTACAAGAATTGGGTTTATTTATATTACAACGTTGCGGTTTTGTATGTTCGTGACTTTAGTCAGTTGGTAAACGCCCTAAGTAATTCAGGGATTTGGTTTCTCAGTGTGCCAGGCATGTCACGGCCGACGTTTGAAGTAATTTGACACAATCTTGTTAAATGTAAACGTTTATCGTTTTCTTTCAAATCCTAATTTTCTGTTTTGAAATGGAGATCTGTTTTCGCCCAGCATAGTACAATTGATAGACTCAATCTGGCGATCCTGGTCACGGTCGCAGAGTCGGTCTGGATTTGGTGTGCAATTTTATTCAGGACTTGAATCAACCCACAGAAAATTTACTGTGCAGTAATTCAGTATGTTACATGGCACGTTTTAGAAAGTTTTCCTGAGTGGATCTTTTGCCTTAAAAATGATAGCTGGAATTTGTTACTTATATCAGATGTGACCTAGTATTAAAATATAACCAATCAATTTGTGTTGTACTCATGTACTTTCCTGCTGTTGTACGTTATGTATTGAGATTTTTTTTTATTTTTATTTAGATATTAATATCTAAGCTACACTGGATTCACGTTGCAGACTGGAATGATCAGCACTATTTGGAATTAACTGTGTTTCAGTGTGGACATCGCTACATTTCTCTTTTGCCTCTAATCCAAGATGGGTAATGGACTTTCAGATCAAACTTCTATTTTATCAAGTTTTCCATCTTTTCAGTCTCTCCACATTGTTATTCTGGGTTTAGACTGTGCTGGTAAAACTACAGTTTTGTACAGATTACAGTTCAATGAATTTGTCAACACTGTTCCAACAAAAGGATTTAATACTGAAAAAATCAGAGTGACTTTGGGTAACTCAAAAGCAGTGACTTTCCACTTCTGGGATGTCGGTGGTCAAGAGAAACTGAGACCACTGTGGAAATCTTATACACGCTGCACAGATGGTATTATTTTTGTGGTGGACTCGGTAGATGTGGAAAGAATGGAGGAAGCCAAAACTGAATTGCACAAAATAACCAGGATCTCTGAGAACCAAGGAGTGCCGGTACTTTTGATTGCCAACAAACAAGATCTCAGGAACTGCCTCTCGCTCTCTGAAGTGGAAAAACTGTTAGCTTTGAGTGAAATAAGTTCTTCCACCCCCTGGCACCTTCAACCTACCTGTGCCATAATAGGAGATGGACTTAGAGAGGGACTGGAAAAACTTTATGAAATGATCATTAAAAGGCGGAAAATGTTGAAACAGCAAAAAAAGAAGAGATGAATGTACAGAGGTTGAAGATGCTTTGTATTTTTAAAAGCTGAAATATTGCTACACTGGTCATTACACCTTTAGCCTTTTGACAACATTAATGTTAAAAATGTGAGTCTAGTGAGATCTAAGGCAAAGCTTATTCGTGGGCTCACAGTGGAAGTGGATATGATAATTAAGAATGGAGAGCAGTTATACTGGCATAAAACTGTCAGCATCCTTTATTATTAGACCAAAATATATTCAAATCTGTAGTATTTTGTCTTTTTTTTAATTAAGTTTCTAATGTCTGTTTGCGTTTAAATGTGTGTGTGTGTGTCATGTGTTCCACTTTTGAGGCCTGCAAGACAAGGTACCTGCACAGCAAGTTCTGTAATATTTTAGGCAAAATTGAACACTAAAAATATTTGGATGTGAACTGTTTCAAATCAAGAAACACCTACCAAAACTACATGGAGAAGAAAATGGCTGATACAGATTATAGTTCGTTGCTGTTTCTTACCTTTTTGGCTAGGTAGTGGTTAGAGACTATTTAAAATGAGATGCTACTGGAATTGAAGAAGGCACAAAATGCTCCTACTATATTATCTGTAGTGTTAGAGTTGTTGGCAAGCATGTTTCTTTTAATAAAACAGTGGAAAATGTGTGGTGTCAGAACTAGGTCTCTGGGGAGAGAGGAGGGAAAACCTGGAACACTGTGTTTAACTGACCTTGAACTTTTATTTAAAAAAAAGCTTTCAGTAGACAGACAGGAATGTAGCAATCACATGTTAGTTTGTTCTTGTCACTGATATTCACGTTAAAGTTGCTGCAAAGCCTCATTTCTAAGCAGTGTTAACATTTGGGAGCTAGACTCTTTACCGTATATAAGCTGTGACTTGATGTGGTAGAAACTTAAAACCTTTAGGTCTGCATACGTTGCCAACTGTAAAATGTTCCTGTTAATGCTATTTAGGCAAGCATTGCCATGAATTGTAGCATTTGGTGCCATCTTTTTATGAGTTTCTCCATTTGGAGCTCTTGTTATATTTCATTTTCTTTTGAAGGTTGCAAAATCTTTGTATATATTAATGTTTGAAAGTAGCCACTCTTTGGCTAGTGGTCTCAAGAAGAATTCGAGAACCATTCATTCTTGCTGAAAATAATAATGTATTTGTTTACTGCCTCATAAAGGGATGGTATCATTCTAATGAAACTACAACTGGCTAGCAACCCAAACCTAGCTTTCCCAGTTAGGGTCATTTAGATGGGTGTGTACAGATTACACCAATCTACAAAAATTCAAAGTTATTCCAAGTTCATACGCAACTTTTTTAGTTGATTATCCTCCTCAGCATACAAGGCCACAGCAGGTCATTTCTCAACCTGTAATTTATTGTAGAATTTGTCGTTCTGCATGTGAACATGCTGGAAGAATTTACAGAATATTTAAATCTGTTAAGCCATCTGTTGTTTGTTTTTATCTTATGACTACGTTCCTCATATTACAAGTATGAAATCACAAAAATACTTGTAAATTTTCTGAAATTTCAGATAAGTGAGACCAATTTAATCATTGGAATGCTGATAGCAATATATTTGTTTAAAATTTGATTATTGTTTAATTTTTCAACATTTAAAGTGCAGGCCTATGTGTCCTGAGATGATGATGATGAGCAATTTTTTATTTAAATGTTTAACCAAAGTTCACCACCTGAGGAAAAACAAAGCATTATAAAGAGAGGATTGTTCCTTACACAAGATGTGGATTGGCTATATTTTCCTACACCACTTTGCTGAGGATTAATTTCCTCCTTTTCTGCAAATAAGTTACAACCTCACTATATCTATAAATTCTTGACGTTTTTGTAAATGTTCATTTGATGTTTCCTATGTTTTTGTTCCCTGACTTTTTTTTTAGGTTTGAAAGATATTGAAACCCTGCACTTTTGTGTAAACAGCTGAGGAAAACATTTTCTTGTGTATAAAGCACAGAAGCTTGTGTTCAAATTTTCACATTTGAAATGAATCGAAACCTAGATGGTCTGAATGTAGACAACGTCCCTGGCATTTTTTAAAAAAAAAAGACCATTTATGACCTGCAAAGAACTGTGCGATATCTTGTGGGTTACAGAAGCTTACTTACTTAGTGTTTTCTATAATTCAAAAAAGCAGGTCAATTCATTTTAATTTAGTTTATCATTATTAAACCTCATCACTTGCAGAAAAGTAACAAAAGCAAACCAATTGGTCTGACATTGCAGTTTTAAAGGAAAAATGAAATTGATGCTATTACAAACTATTTTCTATCTTCAATGACCTTGCATCTGGACTTCCTTTGGATTAAGTAAGGCTGTTGTCAATATTTTACTGTATTGATTCTGACACTGTAAATATCTTCTGTTTTTGACTTGTACAGTGGCTTCAGGAAATGCACTTTAGTGTTCATTAAAGATCAACAGCTTTGTGTAACATCTGTTTTAATAACTTGTTTTAAGAATTGAATGACCTCTGTTGGATTTGTCTTTGGTTAAGTGTTTCCACCTGCACTAGTGGCATTGCTGTCATTGATTGGAAAAATTCTTTATATTTATATGAATGTTGGAACTTAATAAATACAACTCTGAATAAATTGTCAGTTTTCCATTCAAATCACTCAGGCAACAATGAACCCATCTCAAACTGCAATTGCAAAATCTTTTATTTTGTAGCTTTTAAGTTAGGAGAAGGAGACAACTCAATACAATAGGAATTTCTTTTATGTTCCAATAAGTCAGACTGAGAAAAGAGATGAGATTTATATTTTGTGAAACTTATCTGTTCAAGGAATAGAGCCATGTAGCATGATGCTTTGTTTTACATAAGCTTTTCATCTTGGAATTACAAGATGATAGAAACATACTTCTGAAACTGATTTGTAACAACCGAGAATCTGCATGCTGCTGTTAGCTTACTGAAATGGTTTAAAATTGGACCATACTGTCACTGGAAGATGACCTGTACATTATGTAAATACAGCATTGGGAGTCAAAATCACGACATATTAGTTCACAACAGTGTTCTGCAAAAATTAGTTTTATTTTGAACATCAGTTGAAGCTGAATGTTTGTTTGTTTGTTTGTTTATTGGAAAGGGTTACATAAATGTCCCTGAATATCCCAATGTTTATATTGGAGTCCAGACAATACACACCCATGAACTGAGGGGTTCTAAAAAGAAAGCAAAAACGTCTAAGAAGCCAGTGTAAATTAAAACTGACGTATAAAGTTTTATTTTGTTGTTCTTTGCCTTTTTGTAGCGAAAAGGTTATTTTGTTCTGAAGGATTGTGGTTCAAGGTCTGACAGTTGTGGTTGAAGTTGGAAACATTGATTTCCTGTCTGCATCCAACCACTTGTGGAACTAAGGAAAGGAGCAACAGATACTGGGAAAGGAGGTTGTGTAAAATGTTGATTGTTTAACTTTCATAACATTAAAGCCACAATCGGTTAAAGAGGACTGCCTTGTGGACTCCCAAGTCATTGTTGATGTAATGGCAAGAATTGTGCTAATTCTGTGATCTGAACTGCAGGCAAATTTCTCCACAAATGTGCCACAGCAAATAGCTGTGAAAGTCCTCTACCTTAATTTTCTGGTAGCAAATACAACAAAGCCATATGATTTAGGCTGTGCTGACGTTTTCATTTTGAATGTATTGTTCTGTATCGAGTTTTCCCTATTTCAGCTTTAGCAGTAGAATTTTTTTTTCTGCTGCTCATTACCCTAATCCCACTTCAACATTTGTCTGGCATTTTTTTTGTATAAAGCCAAAGTAAAAACTGCACTTTGATTTTACTTATGAAATCCATATGCAGTTTTCTCATTTATTTCTAGATATGATGGCCTAAATGTTGCTTGGTTGAAAATATGTGTTCTTCTGTTTCTAATAAATAATTAATTATTGCTAAAATTCTCCAAACCTGGCAATATTCTTTCATGCGATCACGATATTCCTATAAAGTGGCAACCAGAACTGTATGTTGCATTTTATCTGTGGCCTAGTGTTTAATTCTAAAATTATCTACCTAATTTTACATTTCTATGCGTACTTAATAGAGTGCCCTGTACTCCTGTTGACCACCTGTCCTGCTAACCTCATAGACCTGTTCATATGCATTCAAATGTTCCCCTATTCCTCTGTACTCTCAAAATCTTAGCATTCATTATGTATTTCTTTGCCTTGTTTGTTCTCCCAAATGCATTATGTCACATTTAACCTGGATTAAAATCTATTTGCTATATTTCTACCCATCTGACCAGTCTTATGTCTTCCTGCAGAATACAACTGTCTTCTTCAATATATATCAAGACACATGACCATTGTTTGCATTATCTGCATATTTTTAAATTATACTTCATCACTGGAGTTAAATCACAGCAAGGGACTAAATGCTGAGCCTGTGGAACCCCAATAGAAACACCATTTGACCATTACTTGTGCTTCCTGCCTCTTTCAGATTTAGATCAAATTTGTTAAATACTGTTGGGCTCTTTTCTAACCAAATCGTTCTGGTGTATTTTACAAAAAGCCTAGCTAAAATCTATGTAAACTACCCGTCTGCTTCTTGTTATCACCTCAAAAACTCTTGAGTACAGCAATGCTGTCGGTTCATCAAAAAAAACTTCTGTCTTCTGCCTTCAGACACAAGTTTTCTTTTGGATTTTTCGTGGGTCCTACTCTTTGTTATCTTCATGCTCCTGATGTACTTATAATTTTTTTTGAGTTTTCTTTAATTTAAATCATTTTTTTCTTCATACCTTCTCTTTTGCTTTTCTAACTTCCTTTCTAATTTCTTCTCTGCATTCTCTATATCCCTTCAGACTTTCCACTCTAGAGAGATATCCGTATTTGACAAAATTCTCTTTTATTGCCTTCGCCTACTCTGTATGACCTTTGACTTCCACGAAGGTCAGGAGTATGGAATTTGTAGTCCTTTATTTGTGAAAACTGATTTGTTCTAAAATATCTCTATCTTCCTCTTGGATGGCTACTCTTGCCAAACTGTTAAAGCTACAGCAAGACTACTTGCATGTCAAACAGCATGTATTATTCAACAAGGCTAAGTAATGTGATGATTAACAGATCAAATTTAAGTTTTGAAATCCTGGTGCCTCCAATCGTGAATAATGGTTGACAATTAAACATTTTAATAGGAGGATGAGTCTGCATAAATATCTGCATCCTCAAAGTTGGGGAAACCCATTACAAAATACAAGGTTGAAGTATTTGGATCCATCTTCAGCCAGAAAGGCTGAGTTGATGATTTGACTTGGCCTCTTCCTGAGGGCCCCAGTATTATAGATGTAAGGTTTCAGCCAATTCAATTCATTCCATGTGATATAACAAAATGGCTGAAGGTGCCGAATACTACAAAGGCCCTGACAACATTCCAGCAATTCTAGTGAAGACTTCGGCATCAAAACTAGCCACACTCAATGTCAAGTTATTCCAGTACAGCTCCAATGCTGGCGCCTACCTGACAATGAAAATTATACGGGTATCACTTGTCCACAAATAGCAAGACAAATCTAACAAAATGCGATTGTTGAGATATCAGTCTGCTGTCAATCTTTCAGTTAAGTCATTGAAGGAATTGTTTATCATATTGTCATTTGGGTACCATCACTAGGATCCTAATCTCATTATAGACATGGTCCAAACAGGGCCAACAAAATTAAGGTGAGATTAAATTGAGGTGAGAGTGATTGCTGTTGCCACCAAGATAGCAATTAACCAATCTTAGCACCCATGAATCTGAGCCAAACTGGAGTTGTGGGAGTTGGGAAAACATTCTCTGCTCACTGGACTCTTAGATAGCATAAAGGAAATTCCAACAATCACAACCAATCGTATCAGGCCAAGAACATCACTGCAGGAGATCTTATGGGTGATGTCCTAGACCCGACAAGCTTCAGTTGCTTCATCAATAACCTTCCATCTGTCATGAAGTCAGATGTGGGGATGTTCAAAGATGATTGCAATTAGTAGCATAATTTATGGCCCTTCAAATACTAAAGCAGTCCGTATCTATATTCAACATGACTTAGACAAGCTTCATGCTACACGAGCATACTGACCATCTTAAACAAGAGAGAAATTAATCAATGTCCCTTAACATTCAACAGTATTACCTTTGTTGAATCCCTTATTATCAATATCCCCTGAGTTACCATTGCGCAGAAACTGAACTGGATTGGTCTAGCCAAGAGCAAAAAGGCTAGCCAAGTAGCTACAAGAGAAGGACAAAGATTAGGAAGTCTATGCCAAATAATTTACTTCTTTTCTTCACAATGTCTGTCTATTGATTTTGGGGGTTCATGATCGCAGTTACTTAACACAACAGCAGATCATTTGTAAACAGTTTTTGGATAGTTTGTTGAGTTGTTAAGAAGCAGCAATTTGGTTGAATATTTTAGTCTATTACCCAAAGGAAATATGCAGCCACGACAATTGAAGATGGTTCACTGATACTAAAGGACAAATGGGCTGCTGGCATGGAATATATGGGTCTTGTTAAAGTTGAGAAGGCAGCATCTTGCTTTCCAGTTGAAGTGTTAGGGAACATTTCTCTACATATTTGGCTTCCTCTTCTGGTACATCTTCCATCTAGAGAAGATAATTCCTTGATGAGAACTGCTGCAGCCTGCTAGGACCATGTGTTGAGGACTGCTCTATGCTGCTAAACGCTTGTTGATATATCCCATTTCTAGAGGCTTATGCTGTGTCAATCAATTATTTGAATCTTTGTGGCCAATGACTATGGGCAACTACTCATGACATTGGATGACCATTGTTCCTTTGCCTACTTTCTTTTGACTGCTAGTATTAATTCCTTCTACAAACAAACACTTCTTATTTTCCCGAGTACAGCATTCATAATAAAGGAATGTGGTGCCCGACAAATTTCTTTATTTACCTTTGTAGAAGGCTGTTTAACACTTAACACAGTCAAACAAGGTTTCATGCTGCACAATAAATACTAAATATTGAGTACTGTTGAGGAATCGGCACAGTGCCTCAGTAGTTAGCACTATTGTCTCACAGCATCAGGGACCTGGGTTCGATTCCAGCCTTAGGCAACTGTGTTGGAGACATTCTCCAACAGTCTCCTGTGTCTGTATGAGTTTCCTTGGGTGCTCAAGTTTCCTCCCACAGTCCAAAGATGTACAGGTTAGGTGTATTGACAATGCTAAATTGCCCATAGTGTCCAGAGATGTGCAGGCTAGGTGGAAAATGCAGAATTATAAGGATAATGTAAGTGAGTGGGTCTAGCCCACCTAAACTTTGAGTCATGGCCCCTGTAATTTCTTCCCTTGCCTCCAAGAGCAGCCTGGGGTACAACTGATCCAGACCTGAGGATTTGTCCACTATTAAGCCTGACAAACTCTGCAAAATCTCCTCACTCCCTATGTCATACTGCTCAAGAACCTCACAGTCCTGCTCTCCGAATTCTGTACCTACATCCTCCTTTTCCTGGGTGAAGACGGAGGTAAACTACTCATTTAATGTTCTACCAATTCCTCTGACTCCATTGCCCCCTTGACACCTAATGGACCCTACTCTGTCCCTGATTATCTCTTTCCCCTTAATATAGTTATAGAATATCTTAGGACTCTCCCTAACTTTACATTTCAGTGTTTTTTTTAATGCCCGCTGATTGCTTTCCTAATTGCTTCCTTAAGCTCGGTCTCCACTTTCTACACTCCAGTAGGGCCTCTGTTGCTTTTAGCAGGTGCAAAGGGACACATAATCTCTTTTCCTTCTTAGCCAGTCCTGAATATTCCTAGACATCCAAAGTTATCTGTGCTTGTTGCTTCTACGTCCTAAAATGAACATGCTGGGCCTGTTGTTGCCCCATTTTCTATTTGAACCCTCCGAAATTGTTCTGCTGTTGATTTTCCTTCAAATAGCTGTGCTAGTATTGTCCTCAAAAAAAAACTCTAGGTTTTCTGAACCTACATTTAAACTGATTGAGCTAGAATGTATATCATCAAATCTTCCAATAAAATTAGTAAGGACCCTATTGAATGAGTGTACTTAAGCAATAAGTCCATAATAATGCACTCAAAGATCAACATTTGACGCACTCTAGCAATGTGATTGCAATGAATTTGCTTGCTCCCTGGCACTTCCTTTGATATGCTTCAAAGATGATAAAAGGTACTCTTTTGTCAAGTAATATAAATATTTGTTGTTAAGTTGTAGGACTTCGACTGTCATATTCCTCATAATGGATTTGAGTTTTTGTTTTATGCCATATGGGTGGTGTCACTTCACCTGATGAAAGGTCTGAAAGCTTGTGGTTTCACATAAACCTGTTGGACTGTAATCTGGTGTCGTATGACTTCTGACGTTGTCCACCCCAGTCTAACACTGGCACCTCCACATGTACTGCATGGTTTGATAATATAATTACATGTGCAGCCTGTTCTGTAGATTCTCTGAAATAGTGTTGGTG